CCAATGACTTTTGCTAAACTGGTCAGGATGCATGACTTCATGAATTCAGAACCTGCAAAGTGTCTGAAGATAATCACCTTTTAAAACAATTACTTGGCAAGTTTATTGTCAAAAATGCCAATAGTTCACAGATTTGATCTTTTTAATGTTCATATTTGCTGGTTTTCTTAACTTATGTGACATAAAACTGAATAGTTTGGGGTTCTGACCTGCTGGACAGACATTAACTGGGGCTTCAATAAATCATAATGGGACTGACTTTTTATAGAACATTTTTTTAAGGGGTTCTTTTTTTGATTGATGTCTCAACCTTCGGCCATGTTTCTTAGAAATCAGTTGAGTAGTTCTTTTTTGTTACACTGCAAACAAACAAACAAGCAGATAATCATTGATGTTCTTTGATAGTTTACCATGTTAGTAACATTATTATGTTTTTGATAACAATTTCCCAAAAGGTTACAATAACTAAGACATTTTATTGCTGTAACTTTAGTGATAGACATATACAACATAAGAGGATTTCTGCTGTAGCTCCTCTCAGGATCTTACTGAACATCTTTGTGTTACGCTTGTGTCCACAGAAACGGTACAGGGCCGTGTATGACTATGCTGCAGCTGATGAGGACGAGGTGTCCTTCGTGGACGGAGATGTGATCATGGACGTACATCAGATCGACGAGGGCTGGATGTACGGGCGTGTGGAGCGCACCGGCCAGCAAGGCATGCTGCCTGCCAACTACGTGGAGGCCATCTGAGTGAGAGGGAAAGTAAAATGAGGGAGAGAAAAAGGAGGAGGAGTAGGTAGAGAAAAGGAGGGAAAGAAAGAAAGGAAAAGCCCAGTGCCATCTCATCTTAACGCCGCTTTCTCTTGATTTTACTCTTGTTCCCTAATCTGTCATGTGAGAACTCAAATCCACCCCGCCCCACCCTGCTTTCTTTCTCTGCTCTTACCGTTCAGCTTGCCAACCACAGACACCCTCTATCTGTCTGTCTTTTTGTCTCTTTCTGTCCTTCTGTCTGTGCTGATGTCTGTCTCCATTTGGATGACCGTCATCCTCTTTCATGTTTTTGACTTTAGTACATTCCCTTAACCTCTAACCCTTTTGCACCAATCAGCCGGTTATCAGTCTTAACAGAGAGGTTTTTAATATATTTATGGGTTGACACACATTTTGCCATTGTGTGCTCAAAGAGGCCACCCTTGCGTTCAGCTTTGCATTGTGGGTATCTGTGTGAAACTGGAATCGCAGCCTAACTGAAGAGCACCTCCTGTCGTTGCCTTTCACGAGTGTGACAGTCATACAGGAGGGATCAGGGACAAAGTTAGGGGACGTCATCAGTCCATCTTCTGCAGCCAAACTGAATACATCACCACAGTGGCTGTGGATTTTTCATCTATACATGTTTATTCCGCTTATTTGCATCCTTCAGTCCTCAAAGCTATTGTGACAAATGTTTGAAGAAAAAAACGAGATCAGAACAGGTTGAGTCTTTTTTCCCTTTTTGCTACGAAATCACCATCAAAGAGAAGGCATGTAAAAAAAGGAGGCCAGCACAACTCTCTCTATTTTTTATTTTAAATTCATTCCATTTTTTTTCTGAGTGAACATTCCAGTCTGTTTTTCCATTAATGTCGAGAGAAACTGGTGAAACCTTGGCTGTGCTAAATGTTTTTGAAGTTTTTTTCTCATGCTGTTCTTCCTTTTATCTTTTCTTGTTATTATGAGAAGCTTATTTTCAAAATTAATATTAGTTTGTTAAATAAATGCAACCAGCAGCTCAATTTATGAATCCATACAGAGGAGTTTATCTGAAGGCGTGCAGCCCCGCACATTTGTTTAGTCGTGGGATTAACCAAGCCGACCTGCAGTTGCGCTGACAGCTCGTTGGAGAAATCAGCCCTATAGTCTCACAATTAAACCTGTTCCTGAGTAAAGTTACAGACTGGCATTTAAAACACATGCAAGAGAATTTTATTTTATGCTCTGGTCATTAAAACATCCATAAAGGTAGATTTTAGAGAGGTAGAGAAGTTCCTCTGGCAGGTGAATCCCAAACTATTTTTGATATTCGACCAATGATATCAGTCAAAAATTTACCAGCGTTTGGTTTTTGGTCATCACAAATCACAAAATTGAGCGTTCCCGTTGCTGGCTATTACAAAAACGCTGCATCATTCCTCCACTCTAGATACTGTATTTCTGTGAGGACCATATCAGACCTTTGAAAGATATTTGACCATCTCTCTGTTTTGTAAATAATGCAATTTACCCATGATCGCACAGACCTCCCCTTTTTCCTTGCTTATTCATCCTCCCATGTGATGCACTGAGATCGTCACAGACATGGAGCGATCAAGGCGGTGCGCTTTTCGATGGGGTGGGAGGGGCTGGAGATATTTCAGCTTTATTAAAACAAACAAGGCTCTCACTATTGTAGCTAGATGACATTGTACAATTGTATATGTATCATAAAGTCAAGTTAGGGAAAATGTTTTTACTGGTCATGGTGCTCGGGGGAAGTGGTTTGCCTGCAGATAAAAAAAGAAAAAAGAAGTTCATATTATTTTTGTGGATTTGGCTGAGGGGAAAGTGATGTGATTTTAAAAAAACTGATGGAGAAAGTTCAGTGTGGTGCAAGTTGTCAGTTGGTGTTGAACATTCATAAAAAAAATTCAGCCTTCTAATGTTATGAATTGTGACAGTGCTGATAAATATGATTACTACACCTCAAAGTGGTTAATGGGTTGCTAAACAAAATGAATGGACACACTGTATAGTATGTATGCCTGTGTTATGCATTAACCCCTATTTGACAACTGGATGAATCTACTTGCAAAGCAGATGCTAGAACAGAAAGCTGTTTTAAAGCTCAATGTTGTTTCTCTTGGGTAAACTGGAGAATTTTGCTTGTAGTGACATTATTCCTGCTCCTGGCTAATGTTGATGTTTGCTCAAATTTAACTCGATATCAAAGCTGGTCACACTGGTAGCCTCCGTGACTCTGCGGATTGATGATGTCAGTGGGTGGCCTGGATGAAATGGAAAAGTAGCTTAAGGCGGCCAGTGTTTTGTAAGTGAGGCTCAGGGTTGATTTGTATGGCAAAGTCAAATTTGTGCGTGGGTTGATGCAGGCCTGTGCTGTTAGGAGGGCAGTGATCTCACAGTTTCAATCTCCCAGCCTGTGAGGCTGAGCAAGTGTTTTGTCTGACCCGGATATTAGTCAGGAGTTAACTTCTTGCTGCCAAATACCGTTCGTCTGCCCTTGCAGCACTCATCTACTGAACCGTAACGACATATCCTATCCCGTTTCCATTCAGTTTCTGTCTAGTGTCCTGTCCACCCTTCTGCCGCGATCCCTGTTTTTCCTGCAGACTCCATTGTAGGCTCCTGCGCTTCTGATGAATCATCTCCTGCTTCTATGATACTGGTTATAAACTGTAGACTCTGCAGATTGAAATCATATCATCCACAATGGCAGGTTTAGCAGTTTTGTGCGTTACATCTTAAATTGTTTTTGTTTTTGATATAATTTTGTTATTTGTTTGAATAAAAAAATAAAGATACCATATGCATATTGACATACACATGTATTCAAAACTCATACTGAATACATACTCAGAATTAAGGACCTGTTATCATCTCCTGTTGCCCTGTTACAGCACTTCAAATTGTACTTATGATTCTGCAGATTCAATAAAATGTCATTTTTCTCAGACTATTGTTTGTGCTATGTCTTCTGTTCAACTCCGTCAGACCATCGCTGAATTCCCTTGTTATAGAAGGACCCAGGTCACCTTCTGTCCCACCTGCCTCATGCCCTCTGTGCATTATACCATTACACCCCATCACCGCCACCATAAAATAACAAGTATCCCTCTCCTTTAAAACCATAAGAATAAAACTATGGAAATTGTGATACATTTTTCATAAAACAAAGTAAATGAAAAAATATACTGGATACATCCCATAATCTGCACCAAAATTTAATGGGGTCCTCTCAGGCCCCATCCCTTCTGTGTTGTTTGTGTAATGCTGCTAACAAACCTGTCTATGTCTATATTATCGCCTTGGTGGAGGAAATATAGACTTTGGGCCATAAAATGGTCATAATGAAAGAAAACTATTATATTTTTTGCTTCAGTTGCACAAACAACCTGACAAATTTGTACTTAATCAAACTACTGTCAATTTGCCTGCTTGTATTTATATTTGAAAAGTTTTAACTTCATTGCTCCTCATCTTCACCAGGATTCCCTGACAGGAGACATATTGTATCTCAGTGGGACCTTATTGGTTAAATAAAGGATAAATAAATAAAAACACATGAACAATAATCAATGATGGACTATTGTATCCATTCAATGACTTTTTGGACTGGATTGAGGGATTAGAAATTGTGTTAATCTGATTTTGGAGTTAAATTAGGCTGCAGGAAGATGAAATTATAACATTGTTTTTATTATTAACCTGATAATTTGGTAAATTTCACATCAATAAATGCAGAATGACAAACAATATTCATTTCACCAGATTTCTGCATACATTTAACAAACATATCAAGACTATAAATCTTATAGATACTAAGAAATGCAACAAAATTTGGCAATAAACTGTTTTATATTTTGCATTTTAAAAAGTTTAGTATTTCCCTTTCTTTCTTAACATTACTAATCACTAATATCTATTCTTCTTTATGTCCATTTAACTGTGCTGTCACGTTAGCTGGTTATTTCCTGTGTTGGGTACGTAATTGCAATGTTTGTATATGAACAAGTTTGTAAATAAAGTTTAAAAAAACAAATAAAAAAAAACAATGGAGGCAATCGCCCTTTGGTGATTTTAGAGTGTTCACCCGGAGTTTAGTCTTCCTCCTTCACAATGTCACAATCTGGTGCCTCAAACAAATCGTTTAACTTTGATTCAAACTGTTTAATGTGAACTTTTTAGGCGACATTCTGAACGTGAAGTAAAACAGAACAGGAAAAGATACCTCCTTTCACTTCCGGTTCTAGAGCAGGCGGAGTCACAGGGGGGAGGGGTCCGTCGGATTCGCCCCGAACACTGCCGATCTTTGCCGAAGCTGCTGCACCGGCTGCTGTTCGTCCTGCTCGCACCTCCACCGTCTGACACCATTTCCACCATGATGGACATTTTGATGCTGATGTTTTTCGCCATCATGGGCCTGGTCTTCCTCTCCTACATCATCTACATGCTGTGATGAGGAGGAGGAGGAGGAGGAGGATGAAGAGGGCTCCTGCTCAGCCACACAGGCGGCTGGTAAACATGGGCGCACACGGGATGTGTGTTTTCCCTCTCCTGCATCCCTGGTGTCCGGACAATGGTGAGCGACCACTGTGCGTCTCACATGATGCTGCTGATGTTTCTGTTACATGTTGTGGTTTTATAATATTGTTAAATATATTATTCATATATTGTAAAACTATAAAACTGCAGAGATGATGCAAGTTGAATACTCTTGAGCAGGGCCTGTGCACCTTTCTGTTTCTATGTGATATGATTTCAAAATCATCTCTTCTAGCTTTTTTGTAGCTTTTCATTCCAGAGACAGTCTGTAAATGTCTGAGAGCAGCTGTTGTCTGTTTCAGGAAGAGGAGCCAGGGCCGTGATGGTTTCCCATCAGTGCTCTCAGGTGGGATGTGAGGAGTGATCCAGCGGAAGTGAGGGAGCACTGGAGGCCAAACTGTCTTTTCTCTCTTTTTCTATCTCCCACTTGCACTAAGTCATCTCTCCGTCCTCTAGAGGACCAGTCCAGTCCAAGGAGTCTCCCCTTACTTCCTCTGCAATGGATCCAGCTTGTTTTCTATCCAGACTGTGTTGAGAAGCAGACGTGTTACCTCTGCACGAGTCCAGAAATATCAGTGGGATTTGCCTTTTTTTATGACTCTGTGGTCTAATTATCACTTCCACCTTATGTGCATGTGTGTTTAACAGTATTATCCAATGTGTGGCCAACACCTCTGCACTCATGGCTTTAGTTTTGTCTCAGCCTTGACAGTGTTAACATTATGTTCTTTGTGTGTTGCCACAATACGTGCTCCTCCTCACTACAATCAAGGTTTCCCATCACGGGGGGGGGGGSGRSAGTGCAATAACTCAATGAAGAGATCACAGCATATCACCGTGTCTGTTGAAATGTGTATGTTACTGTTATTCAGTTTGTCTTAATAATATATTTAAAGTATATATATATATATATGTTGTTTTGGGCTGCAAATGAAATATGAAGAGCAGTGATGTCATATCAGAAACTTGCTTGTCATTCTTACCACCAAACCTCAAATATAAATTATGTTCTGCAGTATATAAATCATGTTCAGTTTACTGATGCACTAATTATTGACAGTGTGTTCTGTTGAATAAAGATGATTTCAGTAAAGCAGAGTTGCTTTTTCTGCTGTTCAACACACAAGTCACTATATTTGTATTCTGTTCACAACCACAGATTATTCGGTTTTTGTCAAAAGAAACGTTTTGTCAGGCAAATAAGGAATTCTTTTTGTTTTTTAAGTGCAAGCACACTTGTTTGTCGTGGAATTAAATACATATGTAGATGATAAACATGGAGAGAGGAAGATGCAACTAAGACAATCATTTTGAAGAATTTCAAGATTGATAGATACATATTTTATTAATCTAGAGGTATATGTAAGTATTCAGTATGAGAGTCACAAAGAAAAGTAACATGTAGGAAAACAACAAAGGAACATGTGATAAGAATAATACTAGTAAAAAAAACAATCCTCAAGAGAAGCTGAGGATATAAAAAACAAATCTAATCATGATTCAGCCCCAGAATAAGAACTCCTGTAAGACTTTAGTTATATCAGTTGTTGTCTTTTGTTATTTCCTTGTGGAGTTTGAATATATTTAATTCAAGACAGCATCTTTTTGTGAGTTATGTGAGTTTATTTCCAGTTTTTCTTTCGAAGCCACTTTCCTCGTGTGTCTCTTGGTTATTTCTCGTCTTGGTCTCATTTCCCCGCCCTTGTGATCGTGTGCTCCCGACCTCATGTGTTTCACCTGAGTTCAGTTATCCCTGCCTCCCTTGTAGATTTGCTCTGTGTGCTCCTGTCTTAGTTTTCTATGTGGATTCGTTTTTCTCCTGCTTGTTCTCCAGTGTTCCATATGTGAGTTTTGCATCCCTGCAAATAGAGGCTTTAATCCTGCCTGTTTAATAAAACATTCTTTCCTGCACGACCCATCCTCACTGACATCTATGTCGTCACCTGATAATAATTGTGACAGTAATAATGATATATAAAGATCTAGTATATACACTGTTTTTAATGTGGCCTCTCAATGAACCCAAGATTGGATTACTCTGCAGGAGCCAACGGCCGCCTCTGTAAATCCAGTTTTCCACATCATGCACCTGCAACAACATTTTTATCCTTAAGGCAATTTAACTTTTTAATCTCACCTTATTTTACCTCCGGTTTCACTTGATGTTGTTTATCCATTTGCTTTAAAGTTGTTGTATTTATTCTTAAGGTTTCTGCTTTCGCCATTATTCAAATTTGACTGTTTTCTTATTTGTGTTTTCTTGGTGTCTTGCATTGTTATATTTTCTGTACTCTGTTATACTGTTGTGTATTCTACCTCAAGGTATCCACAAGTTCTAATAGAGGCTGAATTAAAATGAATAAATATAGATTTAAACAAAAGGTGTCTCTAAATGTTAGTGTCAACAGCTCAGCATCAGCCAATGAAGTTTTCAAGCCCCATCATCAGTCGTGGACCTATAGGGGGTCCAGGACGTGATTTGATGACATAAAAACATTTTTTGTTTCACTCTTTACCTCTCCACTGAGCACATTGTTATATAGTTTCCTGTATAATTTTAACAACTAATGTTTTTTCCTCACCATCGACAAAATCTGAACGTGTATGAGTTTAGGCTTTTAGACCACATAACGTGTCAGAAAACATCTTGAGCAGTTTCTTTTTCTCCTGATGATCTCTAAGAACATAATCATGCAGCTGAACTTGAGTATTTCTCCCATTTTAGCTTCTCACACCACATTCACCCGATCATAACCTGAGGTCCCCATCAAAGAAATGAGAAAAAGCTTCATGTTGCTTATAGTGATGAATTTATAATGAAAATATTTTTGCTCAAGCTTCATTGCAAGTCACTTGTTTGTGGTTATGACCTCACCTTCCACGCTCTGCTGAGGGATTTATGTTTCAATTAACGACCTAAAAATGAGATCATAAGGGCTTAACTGTCTGAGACAATATCTTGGTTTTGGAAACACTGCAACAGAAAGCTGTGTTGATCTCTGTTCTTTTATTTTTATTTTTATTTTTAAACACATTTATACTGTATAGGTGTGCTTTCTCTGGATTTAGGGTCTGAATTCACCCTAAACTATTTTTTAATGTTTTACTTTATTTATTTTATTTTTATTTTTATATTCACCCTCTTATGTTTTATGCTATGGTTGCTTTGAATTTCTTTCTATTGATTGCCCTCAGTTTTAACTTGTAAAGCACATTGTAGCTGTGTTTAAATAAAGTTTATTATCATTTTTATTATCATTACTATGTACACTACAGCTCTTATGTCTTCCTTCCTTCCTATTCTTCACCTACTCCAGCTCTTTATTTCCTGTTGTCACTGAATGTTTTTTGGACAATAACCTGTTCTGAGCTTGATGCCGATAAAACGTTTTCCGGATAGAGGAGCTGTGTTCATCTCGTCCGGATGATGTGAGCAGCCACCGTGTGAATGAGAGGATTCATGCTGCGTGTGCTCCTGCAGATGGTGCTGCTCATCCACTGCACAGGCTCTGGAGACTCGGCCTGTGGAGGTGACTTCGTGGAGTGAATAAACTCGGCTCTGTCCAGATGTGTGGAAGAGCAGGTCACATGAGACAGGAGGACATGTGGGTGATTTTAATTCAGCACACACAGCTGTTGGAAAACAACATGTTTACTATCTTTGGAAAGATTCAAACACATTAGGGGAAAGGGAGCCCTTTGTTTATGAGACATGGGATCATTTTTGAAATAGGTCATTTTATTATGTCTCACAGTTGAACACAGTGTTATATTTGAAATTTTATTATATTCTTGTAAAAAGCACTTTTTCCAGGAGATCACATAAAGCTCAGATCAGTGATCAGACACTGAGGCCCAAAAAAACTGTTTTCCCCTGTTGCTTAGATCTGTTATTGTATCGACCTGAACTCAGTGCTGCTGTTATGAACACAAAATTTATTTCTCCTTTTTCATTTCATCGAGCAGATGAAGGAGCCCTCCCTCCCCCTCCCTGCCCAGGCCTCTCCAATGTGTCCGTCCCTCTCCAGGGTCACAGGTCAGCTGCTCCTTCTGTTCCATAAATTTGAGGACATTTTCAGGGTTTTATACAATCCCTTTAAGTAATGTTAATCTTTTAATCTTTTAAAACCCTTCTACTAAATGTATTTTTTGAAAACCCAGTAAAAATAGCAACATTTTGGGAAATGGTCCTGTTTGCTCTGCTTCCAGGAATACCACTATCCTGTGTGTTTGCCAGCGTCAAGCAATGAAGGACCAAAAAAATGACAAAAGTATAGATAAATAATTGTAGAAATAAATGAATAAATAACAGTAGAAATCAATAAATCACTGAATACATGAAGAAATCAATAAATGTGGAATTACAAGAATAGTCTTTTCATACTTTTTATTTATTTATTTATTAATATTAATTATTTCTTTATGATTAATGATGCTGTTAAACTTTTCCTTTTAGGTCAGAGTTTCACCCTCGTCTCCACCTCCTCCAACCACTTCGCTAAAGTTTCTCCTGCATGTGTGCAGTGTGCAGACAGACCTGCTGTGGCAAATAATCGGAATTCCTCTGCTGATAGTATAATCTACCACCCTCACCATTACAATACAACCGCTGTTCTATCTGAGCGCACACACACACACGCACGCACGCACACACACACCCACACACACACACATGTGCAGCCACTTCCCTTCGAGCTGCATCCTCTGTGTGACCACATCGAGTGACACCATAGCCCTCGTGTTCATTTGCTTAAGAAAAGAAAATGATGTGCTGAAGCGGGACAGTGGAAAGTGGGGCAGGGTTTGTTTGGTTGTTTGCTGCCCTGCACATGTTGTGTGACCTTGTTGTACTGCTGCTGTAACTTAGACCTGCATTCCTGAGCTACACACACACACACACACACACACACACACACACACACACACCCCTTCCCTTCACTCAGTGGCCTGCCATGCTGCTTCTAGCATGTCACAGCTGTGTTATGTGCCAATATTGAATCAAAATAAGCCACAACAGGTGCTCTTTTGTTTTTCTGCTGCGGGGGCCTTGGGTTGCAGTGGTATTTCTGGGTAGATGCAGTAATATGGGACATTTTAAAGTCTTTATAATGAGTTTTAAAAGGAACAATATAGCACTCCAACAATACTACAGTGCATATTTCTGTACATATTCCATTGTCTTCTAGGATTTTTTTTGGTTCTTTTTTTGAATAGCTTGTAAAACCTCCACAATGAGACATTACTTCCAGATGTTTCCAGTTTTGGCAGGTTTTGTCTCTAGATCTAAATCATAAACACACATATAAATCAAGCAAAAACTTTATTGTTCCCCCCTCAAAATATCAGACTCGGTCTATTGTAGAAGAAGCAACCATACTGGTTTCTTCACAGACAGTGGCCTCAATAAAGAAAAGGCTTTTCACC